CACTCATCAATTTGGGGTGTGAAGCAGTCAGGCCAGAAGGGCCAGAGCCATAAACCTCGATGGTTTTGTGGATGTTCTTGTCAAAAGACATGGCAGTAGATGGATAAAACAGTTTTGAATAAATGTGATGCCAGACGATTTTGTTCCGTAGCCGTTAGAGTCAGGGATGGTTTTGAAACACACGAAAGTCTCTGTGTGGTGTTTGACATGTAAAAGCTCTTATTTCCAATTAAAGAAGTACTGACCTATAGGTGTCTGACCTACGCTGCTTATCTAACATGACACACAGCGTTCATACAACCCGTAACGTTGCAAAAGTTACTAAAGAGGTAAAACATGTAAAGATTGTCTCTCTCCATGCACTCGTGTGCAAGCATGTTGTTCACATACACCACAGCGAGTGCAGTGGTGCATAATGACATCTGTCTGTCCTGCCCCTGGAGGGGGCACCACAGCACTGATGAAATTTCATAAATGAGCTGATTGGGGCACACAAGGCAACTGTACGCATTAAAACCTCCATGAATAACTGCCCTCCACCTTAAACTATTGGCCAAAAAAATAAAATAACAGATTTTATTTTTATATGACAGTATTCAATATAATATTTTTTCTACTCTCTCCCAGTTTGTATTTTGTCATGTATGGCTGTGTTCTCTCTGTGACCCCTTTGTTCTCTTATCTTTCCCCTCAAACCCGACCAGATGTGGCAGAGGACCGCCTCTCCTGAGCCCGGCTCTGTTGGAGGTCTCTCCCTGTTACAATGAAGTCGTCGCTGAAAATGATTGGCTGTACGGGATTCAGAGTTTTGGGTTTTTCCTCTAGTATTCAGTCTGTACTTGTAGATGTAGATTAAAAAAAGGGCTGGGCCGAGGATAGAGCCCTGGGGGACCCCACAAGAAAGCACGGTCCTTGGGGATAATGAGTCTCTGAGTTTAACAGAGAAGCTTCGATTAGATAGGTAGGATGTAAACCATTCCAAAATAATCCCTTTTATTCCAATGTGTTGTTCCAGTCTGGAGAGGAGAAGGCTGCGATCTACTGTATCAAAAGCAGCACTGAGATCTAATAATATTAAGATGGCAGGACTGACATAATGAATTCATTAAATACACCATTAAATTATTAATTAAATGTGGCAATAATTAATTAAAATTGGAAATAATTAATTATATAAATATTTGTGACACATGTAATTAATTAATTATTGACATATTTAATTAATTAATAACACATTTAAATAATTATTGACAGTTTTAATTAATTATTTAATTTTTTTTTATTTAATTCATTTTGGCACTTTTGTCCCCTTCATGTCTCATCTTGAAATCATTTTATCTGTCAGCCTGACCCATCATACTAAGTGGGCGGCGTGGCGTAATCGTCACGTCTGGGCAGGTTGTCAACAGAACATGTTTGTGCTCAGATGTTTTCAGAGACGTCACTCGCTCTGCGAACAGTCAGCTGACAGAGAGCACCGAGCGCACAGCCCCGGTGTTCCAGCTGAACTGGTTTTTTGTGTTTGTTTGTTTGTTTGGGGGGGTTACGTTAACCGGTTTGTTTACATATTCCACTCTCCGTGTTCACATGTTGCATTCGCAGATTCTCGTTTTCACCGAACGATCGTCTCTTTCCGCCTGCTCTTGTGTCTCTGTGCTTCTGTAACATAAAGAACGAGCTGACGTGTTTCTCACGAAACCAGCGATCAGCTCAACAGACCCTCAGTTTACCTGCATGCATCCTCCTCCTCACCTGTCAGCTGTTTAACACCTGCTGCTAATTCAAGAAACACGCCCACGTGACCTGGTGAAAGTCACAGTTTAACTGGGCAGCCGGTGCTCGATATAAAGCAATGTCTGCGCATTTTTCTTCACATTTCATTCATAATGTTGTAAATCCAAGCCCATCATGTATTCATGATTTGAATCCTGGGTTGTGTGAAATCTCAGAAACACACCTTAGACAAAGTGAATCTGTGAACTAAGGTGTAGGTGTGTTAGATCATGTTGTGGTGATCCTTGTTGGGGGATTTGTGTTCATACTGGAGTGCAAAATTAAAACCAAGACGAACAAGAAAAGTTCAAAGCCATCAGGTGCTCAGTTTAGAAAAAAGAGAAAAGAGGAGGAGAAACTAGCAACAGATGCAGGTAAGCAGATGTGTGATTGGATAATGGCAGCTCATCCTGAACCAATCAGAATACTTTATTAATCCCTAAGGAAATGATGTGGGTTACAGTTGCTCCAAGAAGAAATGGTAAAAATAGCAACAGTAACAGACTAAACTCCAAACAACACATTATGTTACAGATTTTAATAGTAATTGTCAGTTGTTGATTCGTCCTGTTCTCTTTGTGTGACGAATTATGATGGCTGTTTGGTAGCTGTTTGCATACTATGCATACTCTCTCTCTCTTCATGTGTGTGTTTCTCTGGTGAATTTCGACAACAGTTTTATGTTATTGTACAATCCTTAATATGTTTTATGTGTGTGTGTGTGGGGGGGGGGCAGAGGCTAGGACCGCCACTGCTGGAGGGCTTAACCCGGGGGTTGTGTTCATAACCTGGTTAGTGGCTCTGGTCGCTCTTGGAGGGTGTTCTCCGTGTGGCTGCGTGCAGCAGGGCTGGGGGAGGGTCTGTGCTGGTAGACGTAGGTTACTGGCCTGGTGGCCTGGCTGCCTCTGAGTGGATCCGGGGCAGGCGTGGGGTTCGGGGGTGCTTCGCCTCCGTGCTGGGGCTCTGGCTGGGCCTTGGGGGCTTCGGTCCTTGTTGGTCTGTCGCCGAGGTTGTGGGCGGGTGGGTGCACGGGGGCTCAGCCCTGGCGCAGGGCGCCTCTGGCGCATCGGCCTAACTAGGGGGCTCTTCAACTGACAGGGAGTTTGCTCCATCCTTGCAGGAGTCCACTCTGCAGGTGGGGGAGAGCCATAAGAGAGGTGGAGAATAAACTTAACCTGGGTGTCTACTGTCCTGTGCAGTCTGGGAGATGATTGAATGTTAGGGCGGGAACAGTTTCCTCTGCGGTGGGGTCGGGTGGGCTGCCCCGGGTCCTGTGGGGCTGGGTGGTCCTGCTGCCGTAGGCCCCAATCTGGATGGGCCTGGGCTCCCTTGCCTTGGTGGGTGCCGAAGGACGGGGGTGCCTACTGGGGCATCTTGCTCCTCCCTTCTTTTTCTCCCCATCCCCGGCTGCCTCCCTCTTCCCAAGGACACGAGAAGCTAAGCAGGGAA